ATCCGTTCCCCAACTGGCGACTTGCTTCGGCCAACTTGAGTCTCAGCACCGAATGTTGATTGGGCAAATCGTTGCACTTGTTTATAGATTGGGGACCAGTGAACCATGACCCAAGTAATTCTCGGCTCACCCGATTGTCAACTCTTGCGAGGTGTATGTTGGCAGTAATGACTGTATCCTATAAACAGTGCAAACTCCTGTGCATGTATGACCCATCTCTGTTACCGTTTTCTGCTAATCTATTTGATGCTGAATCCGCGACGGATGAATAAAAGTTTTGTCCCAGCGATCGAGTCGTCTTCTTCTCAATAACTTCCAGGGACTTGCATGTTCGCTTGTATTGACAAACACTAAAATGTTGAATGAGAGATCCGTAGGACGGAAACGTGTGACGGATCTGCGCTGCGAAAGCGCTACGCAAATGGTGTGTAAGAGCAGACAATTTTGTTGCAAACACCGACAGTTCAGGCGATTTCTAGCTAACACCGAAAGAACAACAGTGTAGCGGATAAGTATCAATAACCCAGTAGCAGCATAAGCGGCGCAGTCACTTGGATAAAAGGCGACACACATTTAATTTTATGTGCTGCGTAAGCAACAAGCACGTGATCGGAAACAGTAAGTGGGAAAAAGTCTCGAGGAAACGCACCCGGGTGCGTCTGGATAATTCAATGACGCAGTCCCTACGCAATACGTGCCGGCAATGCCGGTATCTAAAATGATCCTACCAACGGTCTGGTAGCAGTGACGACAACAACCTCTGAGGACATTCGTTTTGAATAGAAGCATACCTCTCAGCAAGTGCAAAGTTTAAAAAAAAGTTAGATCTGGGGGAAACCAATCCAACTGCCTGATGGTGCAAGGCTATTTACTTCCATGGCTAAGACGCGCGACCCAGTGAATTTTGGAATAAAGATGCCTGAGATCTCCAACGCACTTTAGCTAATGAAAGTACAAAGAGACCATACGGGCTTTCACAGATGGAATGTTTTTATTGTCAGTCTGCGTCAACGATCAACGGCGACAGTACCACTGGCACATAGGGTGTCCCAATATGGCTGCAGTTTGCTACTAGTCAAG